TAAATTAAATATCTAACACAGATTTATATGGCGTAGAGTGCCCAGCTTTTACTCCATTAGAATATGAATAATTATGCTTGTCCAGAAAGGCCGTTTGTGCAGAAAAAGAGGTAGATCACTTTCACCGTCAACAGAATAATTGGTGATTCCAAGAAATGAATCGGGAACCAACATGTAGACACATGTCCGATGGCACTGAAACAGCCCCTGAAATTTTGCTCGATAACAGAAGAGATTCCACAATGAGTCAGGCGAGCCATAGGTTTATCCTGTACCTGTTTTTATCTTCTTTAAAAGTAAAAAGCAAAGACAGCTGGGAAGGGGCAAGGGCAGGTGTGAAATTCAGCAGTTCTGACAGGTTCTGGAGAACTGGTAGCGGAAATTTTGGGTAGTTCGGAGAACTGGCAAATTCCACCTCTGGCTGGCCCCAGAGTGGGGTGGGAATGGAGATTTTGCAATACCCTTCCCCCAGGAGTGGGGAGGGAATGGAGATTTTGCAGTATCCTTCTCCTGGAGTGGGGAGGGAATGGGGATTTTGCAGTATCCTTCCCCAGGAGTGGGGTGGGAATGGAGATTTTGCAATATCCTTCCCCCAGGGGTGGGATGGGAATGGAGATTTTGCAGTATCCTTCCCCTGGAGTGGGGTGGGAATGGAGATTTTGCAGTATCCTTCCTCTGCCACGCCCACCAAGCCACGCCCACAGAACCAGTAGGGAAAAAATTGAATTTCACCCCTGGCGAGAACCCCGACCTTTGCTTTACAGGAACTTTTTGAAAACTTCAAAGCTATGACTAATGCAAACTTTAACCCCCCCCACTCCCCCATTTCATTTTGAGCTGAGTTTGTAGGTAAGGAGGAATGCCTGGCTGGCGTGTAGCTGAAGAGATAAGCGAGTTCTGGGGTTTTGGGTTTGGGTTTTTTTTCATTTTGTTAATGGAAAGTGCTTGCCGGAGTCTGTTGTTGTTCTGGGGGGCGGGGGGGGGAGAGGCGGGGAAGGGGGAGAGTGGGGGCAGTTGAGAAAAACAATCTATTTTTGCCCAGTCGACAGGCGAAACAAATCTTTTCTGTGCCTGTATATTGGTGTTACTGTTTTTTTTTTTCCATTTAGAGTTGGACGTAGACTCTAAAAAATAAAAATTAAAAAAAAGGTTTATGGAGGAAGGAAGTGTTGCAAAGAAACGGGAGAGAAAGGTTTTATTAGAGCTGGTTTTTTAACTAGCCGCATAGGAGTTAATTTAGACAACAACTCTCTCTTGCGGGTGGAGAAGAACTGAGCCCATATGTTTTCAGCAGATGGTTATATTTCAATTTGTAGCAGGAAGAACAGGATGGAATTATTAACAGCTATTTTTCCTACGGCCGCCCTCAGACACAGGCAGTTCTCGACTTGAAACCATTCATTTAGTGACCGTTGGAAGCCGTGACGACGGCGCCGATGACCGTTTTTCACACTGATGACCGTTGCAGCGTCCTTGTGGTCAGGTGACCAAGATCAAGACACTTAGCAACGGGTTCATATTTATGACGGTTATAATGTCCCAGGGTTACGTGATCCCCTTTTGCGGCCTTCTGACAAGCAGGGAAGACGGAGTCACTTAACAAGCATGTTAGCGATTTAATGACCGCAACGATTCATTTAATTACGGCAATTCCTGATTCATTAATTAAGGGACGTAAAATGGGGCACAACTCGCTTAACAACGGTCTCGCTTAGCAATGCAAATTTTGGGCGCAGTTGTGTTCGTAAGTCGAGGACTGCCCGTAATTAGGGCCCAGGTCTGTAGTTTACTAGGTCTAGCTTAGGGGTGTGATACTCAAGGCCCGCGGGCTGAATCTACCCTGCGAGGTGCTTAGATCTGCCCATGGAGCCGCCATGGGGGGAAACAGCAAAGGCCCAGCCTGCGGTGCCTCTGCCAGTGAAAACAGAGCTCGGGAGGGACGAGCCCCGTTTTTGCTGGCAGAGGATTGCAGGAGGCTCTTACAGCTGAAAACGGAGCTCGGGAGCCGGTTTTCGCTGGCAGAGCTTTCTGCCCACCACAGGTGCCCCCGACATGAGTGATGTCAAGATGACCACGCCCCTGGCCACGCCCCCTCCTCCCCCGAAGGTCAAACACAATCCTGATGCGGCGCTCAATGAAATTAGATCAAGATGTTAGAATATTTTTAAAATTTTTAAAATTTGTGTCTTTGATTTTTATGTTAAAAGATGTAAGGGAGGGAATTAAGTTAGATAGAATTTTGTTTTTTTTTTTAATTTGATTTATATGCCGCCCTTCTCCAGAGAATCAGGGCGGCTTACAAGGCATTAAGCAATAGCCTTCATACTTTTGTATATTTATACAAAGTCAGCTTATTGCCCCCACAAACTGGGTCCTCAATTTACCTACCTTAGAAAGGATGGAAGACTGAGTCAACCTTGAGCCTGGTGAGATTTGAACTTACAGTAATTGCAGACAGCTGGTGTTAATCACAATGCTATCAGTCTGCTGAGCCACCAGGTCCTGATTGATAATTGGATATAAAAAATGAGTAGAGTTTATTTGGAAATTAAGGTTTTGGTGATAGAATAGGCTGGTTTAGAAGAAGAGGTTAGAATTTGTGTTAAAAATTTGAGTTTTGATTTTTAATTTTAAAAGATGTAACGGGGAAATTGGGAATAGAGCTTGTTAAAGGAATGTAAGCGATTGTACCTATCTATGACCGGATCAAGACTTCGTTCTTAAAAGATTTATTTTATGTTTATGTTTGGAAAAAACAATAAAAAATATTTTCAAAAAAAAAAAAAATGAAATCGAGTCTGACATCCCTGATCTAGCCAAATCCACTTTCCTTTTTACCCCTCGTTTCGCAGAGTTAAATTTCTATGGGCTGGATTTTTAATAAAATATTCAGATATTATTCAAAGGCGTAAGGAAAATAATTCCTGGCAGAGCACAATTCCTGATCAATTCCTGATCATGAGATCATGCAACAGTGGAGGAAGGATTCAAAGCAATGCATGAGAAAGGAGGTATTTTGGCTCCGTTTAGCCCAGACGATCTAATTCATTTTCAAAAATGAATCTGATTTCTTCTCCCCTCCTGGGATGAATAAACGTTGGCCTGCTTTGTCCCTGCTGTTATTTGTCCTGCTGCACAACCCCTGGGAGCACAAAACAATAACAACCCAAAATACAATCTGCATTGAGATTGCTTTTCCAGGCGTGCACAGTCCCTCTTTTTTACACACAGAGCCTCTGTTGTCTTCAAGCATGAAGTGTAATTAGCGTTGATAGATTGCGTTTGTATCCCGAGCTCCGTTGTAGAAAATTCCCAACAATGATCCAACTAAGGGAAACATCTTCAAAGATAGTTATTATTATTATTTTTTTAAAGATAGATTTGTGAGAACCGAACCTGTCTCTGGAGAGTCTCAGCCATCCCAGGTCAAGGTGCTTTTTATCAAGAGGCAACTGGACTTTCTGGGTTTTTTTCTTTGAAGACATTTCGCTTCTCACCCAAGAAGCTTCTTCAGCTCTGACTGGATCTGTGGTGGGAGTCAATTGTTTTTACTACCGGTTCTGTGGGCGTGGCTTGGTGGGCGTGGTGTGGCTTGGTGGGCGTGGCTTGCTGGGCTTGGTAGGGAAAGGATACTATAAAATTTCCATTTCCACCCCCTTCCAGGGGAAGGTTACTGCAAAGTCCCCATTTCCTCCATATCAGCTGGGACTGCGGAGGCAGAGAATAGATGGGGGTGGGGCCAGTCAGAGGTGGTACAGTATTTACCGGTTCTCCATACTACTCAAAATGTCTGCTACGGGTTCTCCAGAACTGGTCAGAACCTGCTGAAACCCACCTCTGGCCTGGATGATAGGGAATGGAAGGATTTATACTCCTTGCAGATAACTGACCGTTTGCGTTCTTCGTATAAATCCTTCCGTTCCCCACCATCCAGTCAGAGCTGAAGAAGTTTCTTGGATGAGAAGTGAAATGTCTTCAAAGAAAAACCAGAAAGTCCAGTGGCCTCTTGAGAAAGTACCTTTGGGACAACCAAACATTCATATAGCCATGTTGTCAGCAATGATCCAACTAAGGCCAGGGACAAATCGTTGTGTTGCCGTGGGACAATTCAACCAACACAAAAGTTGAATTAATTTCGATGGAACCCTGGCCAATAAATAATAAAAGAAAGTCAATCTAGAAATACAAGAGTTACAATAATTTCGACGTAAATGTGGTCCCCAATAATAAAAATACCTGAATGAAACAATTAATATAGTATTGAATTGTCCGCAGCCAGTTATCCTGTGGCGAGCCGGCCAGGGCGAGTTGATCATGTCAAGTTGGCCATGGAGAGTTGGCCATGGCAAATTGGTCACAGCAAGTTGTCCTAGACCCAACTAATGCAGGTTTCTCCAATCTTGGCAACTTTAAGATTTTGTGGACTTCCAACTCCCAGAATTCCCCAGCCAGCATGGTGTCAGGTTTCGATGCTATCTCAAAATAAATGAATTTCCAGACTGCCGATCTTTGAGGAAATTTTCTCTTTATTGAGCATAGTGATCTGTCCCTGGCTCTTTTGTGGTCAGCACTGACCTTTGCCCCCCAAGCCCTCCCTTTCCGATCCCCAATTCTCTGCGTCTCATTGGCTATCTTCCAAGCCACTCTCCTCATCCCATCTCCGTCAGATCACAGGAATGTCCCCCCTCCTCCCATCTCCAAGGAGACAGAATCTTCAAAGGAATTAAGTTGACACATGGTTTACCTGAGGAATTCTGGGAGTTGAAGTCCACAGGTCTTAAAGTTGCCAAGTTTGGAGATCCTTGAGCTAAAGGAAACATCTCCATAGTAAATTATTTTTTTTAAAAAAATAAATAAATTTGTGACAAATACCCAAGCATGCATTTTTAGCCAAGTTCTGGAGCCTACAAAGTCAGAATGTTGCTTTTGATCAAAGCGATTGGCTTCTGTCGCCGACTTCTTTCTTCCTCTTACTTTCTCCCGCTCTCTGTCTCTCCCAGCCTGCCATCCTTCTTGCAAGACGTGCAGCGGGGCTGAGGATGATGAATGCACAGCTTGTCACCCCCACGCCTCTTTCCTCAACGGAAGATGCAGAACTCCCTGCAAGAGAGAGCAATACCTCAATCTGGTAGGATACTGTGCGGGTAAGTGCACGAGAAAGATTAAACCGCTCGCGGCACAATTTATCGTTTGGCTCTGCCACATTTGTAACCCTGCCTTTCCACTCTCCCGAGGAGTTCACGAATAATGCAATTCTGTCTTCATTCTGAATGGAATTCGTGGGAAGTTGCTGCTTTGTTTATGGCTGCGTTTGAGCCAAAATGCAGATTTGTATTCTGGGCTGCCGGCTGCCACTGTAATGCTTGCTTGTGTTTTGCTACATTATGGTGACAGACTGCTATAGATCCTGGGCAATGATGGGTTGCTACCGGTTCACAAATGGGTGTTTGTTTTCTTGGCATTGGCTGTTGCCTGGCATTCCCTGATGGCATTTCCCAGGCTCAAGGTTGACTCAGCCTTCCATCCTTCCGAGGTGGGCAAAATGAGGAGCCAGATCTCTGTCTGATTCTGGACTCCATGTGGCTTTGCCAAGTAGGTCTTTGGCAGAGTGTCAAGCGAGATAAAGGTTGGTGACTATCCCGAAGGACTTCTTCCAACTAATTGGAACTCAGCTGTGAATGACCGTAATTCACAGCTGTTGCAATAAAAGAGGTTTTTGGGACTACTCGTGTGTTTTAATGACTCAGGAAGCCTAGGTCACAACAGCTATTGCTAAAAGAACAGCCTTCTCCAAGCTGGTGCTTCCTATGTTGGTTGGAGTTGCAGCTCCAATCTTCCCAGTCAGGGAAGGAAGGAAACCAGATTGGGGAGGAGTTGGCTGGATGAATGCAACATGGAGTATTTAGGTGCATGGAGTATTTAGTTGTGTGCTTTGAGCTCTGTTTAACCAAAAGAGATATGCTGGCCATGAACCAAAACCATCTTCAACACATTTCCTTTATGTGATCTGAATCACATTTCCACCTACTTCCCGGCATTTTTGCAATTTAAAATGTTCTGGTGTTTGCTTTTGGTTACTCCTAATTTACTGGAATGTAGTAATTGCAGTGTTTAGCCATGGCAGATCTAAACTGCACACATTGCGTCCTGAGCTCCATTTTCACTGGCAGAGGCATCACGGGCCGGTCCTTTGCTGTTTCCAGGGCGGCCCCGCGGGCCAGATCCAAGCATTCTGTGGGCCGGATCTGGTCCCCGATCCTTGAGTTTAACACCCCTGTCTTAGTGTTTGAACACCTTTTGAAAGTCGTCCTGTCAATCTCTCTTTAAGTATGATTAATGATTTGGCAGCAAGTAACTATCATATAAACTTCGTACAACTTCAGATATTATAATATGGATCCCCCCCCCAGCCCCACCTGGGCCTCCACAGGCACCCCTGGCCATGAGCAATGTCGAGCTGGTCACGCCCACCTTGGCCACACCCACACAGGCCCCTCGAGGTCAACCATACGCCTGATGCGGCCTTCAATGAAATCGAGTTTGACACCCCTGTTATAATACATGTATCAATTTTCCTGAACCAAGAGTTTCTCCAAATGTTTTGAAATAAAACTTTGAAAATATTCATGCCAAATCATATTGTCTGGGAAGGGAAAAATATCCACAGGATGGATTGAGTAGGAAGTTGACGTAAATACTACTGTACTGAATGTTAACGCTCCTGTATGAGGAAATTTCAGTTTCTAATGTATTTTTATAACTGTCACTCAGTCTGTCATTGATGCTTGTTTAATACAGAATTTTCCTTTCCAACCCTGGAGGCAAACATTGGAGATTGCTTCTTCAAAGAAACTTCTTCTTCTTCTTTTTTTTTGTACCTATAGACGAGAACGTTAAATTTGCCAACTTCAGATTAATTGCAGCCAGAAAGCCACTGGCAAAAAAGGAAAGCGAAAAACATTTTAATTGTGAGGAGCTACACCAATTATTATCTTTCAGAGTGGGTAACGGCGTAAGTCAATTTAATTGGCAGGAAGGGAGTAATAGAAAAATAGTGCTATCTTTGGGAAGAATAACAGGCCCAAAATAAGGTCTTTTGAAAGGCATTATATAATTAGTTGAGTCCTTTTCTCTGCAGCCACTTCTACTTTGAGGTAATATAGCGGAGTTTTACATTGTCAGTAATCCTGTGAGGTTTGTCTGAAAGAATTATTTCTATCTTTCTTTTCTCCTCCTTTGATTTTTTTTTCTTTCTTTCCTATTTTGAGAATCCAGATTCGCTGTTGTAACAGTTTGGCAAATGCAGAGAGAAGCTGCTTTGAAATGTTCTTGTATTGTTGAGAAGTGAGTCACATATAAACCGGATTGTCAGTTTTTACGTGTCTTTCCTAGTCAGTTTCACTCACCTAATTTACAGGTAGTGCTCAATTTAAAACACTTTGTCTAGTGAACTTTCAAAGTTGCAACAGCACTGAGAATGGGACTGATGGCTGTTGTTTCACACTTACAGCCATGGCAGCATCCCCATGGTCACATGATCAAAATTCAGACGCTTCGTAGCTGATCCTAATTTATGACAAGTGCAGCGTCTTGGGATCATGTGATTCCCCTTTTGCGGCCTTCCAACCAGCAAGCTCGTTGAGGAAGTCAGATTCACTTAATAACCGTGTTATTAACTTAACAAATGCAGTGATTCACTTAATCACAATGGCAGGAAAGGTCGTAAAATGGAACAAAGTTCACTTAACAATTGTCTCGCTTAACGACAGAAATTTGGGGCTCAATGGTGATCATAAGTCGAGAACTAGAAATATCACCCAGGGGGCTTCGGTAGTTAAAGGCAGGGGTGAAATCCAGCAGGTTCTGGAGAACCAGTAGCAGAAATTTTGAGTAGTTCGGAGAACCGGTAGTGGAAATTTTCATATCGTCACCGCTACCGGCTCGGCCGAACCGGGAGGAACCCACCACTGCTGATGACACAGATAAATCTCTAGGTGACCTTAATGACTGGCTAAAAGGATGCAAATGTCCAGCTGCCTGCAAGGAGTACAAATCCTTCCATTCCTCTCTAATCCAGTCAGAGCTGAAGAAGCTTCTTGCAGGAGAAGAGAAACGTCTTCAAAGAAAAACCAGAAAGTCCAGGTGCCTCTTGAAAAAAAAGCACCTTTGGGACAAAAAGGATTGAAGGGTTAAGTTCTAGCCACAAAGGAGACATCAAAACAGCGTATTTGGACAGCAGTATTGTGCCTCTTCCTCCAGACTGCTGTCATTTCCCTGGTAATTTTCTGACTCACCGTAATGAGGATTCATTTGGTGTCCAATATCCCTTCGCGTGCACTGCATACAAAAGACTTTTTGTAAAACCTATTTTCCCCGTAAAATCTTTTGAACCATCTTGGTTCAGGAGACGGTCAGGAGCCCTTGGCTAATGGGCTGCTGAAAGTAGCAACTGTCAGTCTTCCCCTAGTAATAAATTCCGTTCTTGGTGGTGGTAGGTGAGTCTTGGGCATGTTTAGAATAGAATTAGAATTAGAATTAGAATTAGAATTAGAATTAGAGTTAGAGTTAGAGTTAGAGTTAGAATTAGAATTAGAATTAGAATTAGAATTAGAACAGAACAGAACAGAACAGAACAGAACAGAACAGAACAGAACTGAACTGAACTGAACTGAACTGAACTGAATTCTTTATTGGCCAAGTATGATTGGATACACAAGGAATTTGTCTTTGGTGCATACCAGAGGTGGGTTTCAGCAGGTTCTGACCAGTTCTGGAGAACCGGTAGCGGAAATTTTGACTAATTCGGAGAACCAGTACTGAAAAGTCTGCCCACATCTGTTCTCTGCCTCCCGAGTCCCAGCTGATCAGGAGGAAATGGGGATTTTGCAGTAACCTTCCCCTGGATTGGGGAGGGAATGGAGATTTTACATTATCCTTCCTCTACCACGCCCACCAAGCCATGCCATGCCCACCAAGCCACCCCCACAGAACCGGTAGTAAAACATTTTGACACCCACCACTGGTGCATACGCTCTCAGTGTACATAAAAGAAAAGATACATTCATCAAGAATCATAAGGTACAATACTTAATGATAGCCATAGGGTACAAATAAGCAAGCAATCATATTTGGAAACAGTCAATATAAATCTTAAGGATACCAGCAACAAGGTTATAGTCATACAGTCATAAGTGGGAGGAGATGGGTGATGGGAACGATGAGAAGATTAATAGTAGTGCAGACTTAGTAAATAGTTTGACAGTGTTGAGGGAATGATTTGTTTAGCAGAGTGATGGCGTTCGGGAAAAAACTGTCCTTGTGTCTAGTTGTTCTGGTGTGCAGTGCTCTATAGCGTCGTTTTGAGGGTAGGAGTTGAAACAGTTTATGTCCAGAATGTGAGAGGTCTGTAAATATTTTCACAGCCCTCTTTTTGACTCGTGCAGTATGCAGGTCCTCAATGGAAGGCAGGTTGGTAGCCATTGTTTTTTCATTTCATTCATTTTCACTGTTGCCAGACAACCATGTTCAACAGTTAGTAACAGTACTGGAGATACAATAGCACCACTTCATCATCGCTTTTTGATCTTTAAAAACATTTTACAGCTAGTCCTCGACTTACAACAGTTCCTTTAGCGACCGTTCAATGTTACATCGGCACTGAAAAGTGGCTTATGACCATTTTCACACGTAGGACCTCATAGTCCAGTATCTTCATAGTACACGTGATCAAAATTAAGACGCATGGAAATTGACTCATGTTTATGACCGTTGCAGTGTTCCGGGGTCATGTGATTCCCTTTTGCGACCTTCTGACCAGCAAAATCAAGCCGGTTTCACTTAACGACCGTGTTATTAATCTAACAACCGCAGTGATTGACTTAACAACGGTGGCAAGAAAGCTGGCACAATGGGGCAAAACTCACTTAACAGATGTCTCGCTTAGCAACAGAAATTTGGCGGGGGCTCAATGGTGGTCGCAAGTCGAGGACTATCTGTAATTTGTTGTGAGTTTCTCAAGAGTCGTTGAGATTTGGGCAGCATACAAGCTTCAGGAATTTTGGTTGGCTGTAGGCAGCCAGATGTTTAGAAGGGATTTGTTATTTTTGTCCATCTAACTGAGTTCTTCCCAAGGATCTGGGATAGC